TCGAAAACTTCCTTAGTCAGAAACAATCAGCCTTTTTCACAAGTCCGCTACCATGAAACTGACCAGAGAAAGATTTAGCCCCTTCTCAATTCCAGACGGGCGTTTGTACTGTTTGATAAAAGCATCCGCCAGTCTTAGAAAACAGTTTGGGTTTTTTTGTTTGTTTTGTTTTGTTTTTTAAAGAAAAAAAGTCAAGAGATCAACACGTAAAAAGGAAAAAAAAAAGGTGATTTCCCCTATTGATCTGATCTATAATTTCTGGCACATAAATCTGCCTTTGCAACTGCTCCGCAAGGAGTTTAGTTCTGCACTTCGCATTTTAAGGCCACATCAAAACTGGAATTAAACAAAGAAAAGCAGCGTGGAGAGTAAACTGCAGCTTAAAGGCTTTTAAATGAGAAAAACTTCTGTAAGAAAATAAACATTGAAACCTAATGCTCAATCACTTATTTCCCTGAGCGGCAGGGAAAACAGCCTTAAATCACAGACCCACGTGGGAAATGGGGTTTCTCGTTCCCTTTTAGTTCTCGATCCCTAAAATCTAACATGATTAAGTATTTCAATCTTGAGGTGAACGCAGTAGAATCCACCTCCTGCCGCCAAAGGTTTGTTTAATCATCCCTCTAGTCCTCTGAGAGTGTGCCCTCCTTTTTGTGATGTTGCTAATTTCATATCCGCAATTGTTTTTATTTTCCCCAAGTCACCTTGACACCAAAATGGCAAAGATGTTGCTAAACTGCTGAATATATTTGAAAACGGTGCCTGACGCCTCTCAAGGGTTGTTCTGAGTTACCCAAAAAAGTTTTCAGCCAAAAGGCATTTTAATCCAATCACACATTTATGTTTCTTTTAAGGTTGGGTTAACCCACTTTACACATAAAGAATGTAACCTCCTTTTATCCTCCCTCTCTCCCCCTCCCCATTCTTTGATACACTAAAGATTTATTCATTTCTACACGTCTCAGTTTTTCCTCTGCAAGGCTGTTTAAGAATAGATTATGTTACCAGTTGGAAGACATGGCCGTTTTAATGATTTCACAGCAATCTTCCCGAGTTTTCTTCTGCTGGTGTTTGTATCCCGGAGTCTCCGCTCTAGCGGCTGCATTCTAAACTCCCCCAGGGACTTGAACCACCCGCTAGCTTTCCTCTTTTTTCTTCTTTCCTGCCACCCGTATGTTCCTCCTCTTTTCCTTTTTCTCCCATCACGTCTTCTTACCTGTCTTCCCCTTTGTGACTTTATTTTTTCTGCCTTTATCTTCCTTTTTTCCTGCCCTTTCTGTGCCTCCTTTTTTCCTTCTTCCATTTCTTGTCCCCCCTTCCACCTTTTTGTCTTTTAAGCTTTCCTTATTTTCCTTTTTCCTTCCTTCTTTCCTTCCTTTTATCTTCTTTCCACTTTCCTATTCTTTCTACTCAAAATTCTGAGCTCAAACTGGCCTGTTTGGGTTTGGGTTGGAATCACTGGTCCTTGAAGTCCCTTGCGACCCTAAAATCGTAAGAGTTCTTGGAAAACAGTCTAGCTGTCTTATATTAGGAGTAAAGACTTTTTTTTAAAAAAAAGTCCTGAGTTCTTTAAAAGAAAGCTTTAGTGGAAATGGAAGGATTTCCTATTTTAACTTTCTGGCCTTCCTTGCTGCTATTAAGGGAAAATGTTGAATATGTGTATACACTTTTTTTGTTGTTGTTGTTCAAGCAAACATGAAAAACTACCTCCAAAAAGTGACATGTGCACATGGAGTCAACTTCTACAGTAATTGTTATGAATGGTCAAGTTGTTTCATGTGCTCAGGGTGAGTTTCAAAGTTGTGTAATTTAACCGTTGACTATGACTGATAGGTAAGTCACCTTCGATGTCACTGAAATTTTCTGTCCTTGGGACAGTCCCACAGCTCTAAATTAGAGTTCCCTTTCACAAAGCAGAAAAGGATTTCCCCTACTCTTGGTACTAAGCGTTCCCTTTAGCTTTCCAACCCCATCTTTCTGTCTCTATTCTCTCTTTTATTTCCCTGCATCCTGATTCAGCACCCCCTGCTGGCAAAGCCGGACTCTGAAACTTTTCTCCCTTTTTGAAAGTGTGTCCAGCCAGCCACATTAAAGTGAAACGCACCCAGCACATGCTGGGAATGGATTACCTCGAGGCCTCCTGCATTTCCAGCTCTCTCAGATGACCCTGCATAACTCATCAGGGGACTTTGTGGCACTCAGCCGCCAGTGAGTTATGAGCTCATCAATAACTAGGGGAATAAATGAGGTGCCCAGAGTTAGCACATTGTCTCTCCCCTTTATCTCCATAAATGTACCATCACTCGCAGAAGGGGAGAAAAGAGTTGCACAGGGTGAGATGGAATTGTGGGAAGAGAGGGCTGCCGAAACCAGAACCTTCAGAGTTGAACAAGACAGACTTGGAAGGTTGGTTAACTTGAATCTTGACTAGGATCTAGAAGTGACTCAAGAGAGTGTTTTGCACTCATTAGTTAATTTTTGAATTGCTGTTAGCATTTCATTAGGTGAGGAAGATTGCTGTCTTTAAAAAAAAGTCAAAATTAAACAAAAAACCCACCACAAGAAGAAGAAGAAGAAGAAGAAGAGAAGAAGAAGAAGAAGAAGAAGAAGAAGAAGAAGAAGAAGAAGAAAAGAAAACCACCCAACCCCACCCAACTCTGAGCAGAAGCTCCTCCTCAATTTCTTTCCGGCACAAATTAGCATATGCTTTGGAAGGCGGCAGCTCGGGCTCCTATGCACTTTGCCACACAATTCCCTAGTGCATGCAGACATTCTGTTTGGCCACGGAGGGACGGGGATCCGCTATTCTTCTCTTCCCATGATTACTTACAGCCCTACAAGCAGTACCATATGCTTCTTCTGATCAAACAACTCGCTACATAGGCACCAATAATTGACGAGACCTGCTAGAAATCACGAAGAAAGGTAGCCTACTGAGACTGCAGGAGTTGACAAATCACTGCTAATAATCCTTTTAGGCCCATCACGGCCATCAGAGTTTGCAATAGCTTTATTTTTATAAAGTGGGTGCTGACAATATAAAAGACAAACTAGGTCTATCTCTCTTTTTTAAATCAGAAGACAACCTAGCACCATCATCATCTTCCCTCCAGTAATTCCTACACAAAAACGGAATTCAGGTTGTGATTTTAATTTTAAATTTAAAAAAATTCCCTTTTCAGGTGCTAACTTGAATTAGCTTTCAAGCTGGATTTTAAATCTAAGATGAAACCCATTGCTTCAAGGAAATCAATTTTAAATGCAATTGACTTAGAACAGTATCTTTAGTTTCATGGAGATTTCCAAAGGTTTCCTCTCTAGCCCCACTGGAATGATAACATGTTTTTCCAAGGCTGATTCCCCCAACCAGTGAACAACAATTTAAATTTTTTTTCAGTCAAGGAAAGTGAAACACAAATTTCACACATTTTCTTCCTCTTTCCCATTTAAAAATGCCAATAACCCCAAACACTGAAAGGCCAAAACAACAGAACCCCTTTCTCCCTAAGAAAGATTGGCTCACTCATAAATAAACACAATTCTTTCTCTCTCTGTTAGTCAGTCAACTAGCATTTATTAATTGCCTACTATATTTCAAGCACTGGGGATACAAAAAAATTTTTTTAAAGTTCCTGCTCTCAGGGAGCTCACAGTCTAATGGGGGAAACAACATACAAACAACTATGTACATACAAACAAGATCTTTACAGGATTAATTGGAGATAGCCTCAGAGGGCAGGCACTGAAAGGAACGACTACTGAGTCCTGGGAAAAGGCTTCTTGCTGTAATTCTCTTTATAACAATCAGACTATATGAGCTATCCATTTCCCTCTTCTTCAGATTTTCCATTTACCCTAGGCAAGATCCATATATTTTGCAATCCTATTTGTTCTTTCTTTCTCTTTCTCTTTTGTCTTCTTTCCTTTCTTCCTTCCTTTCTATTTTTGTTGTTATTTTGTCAAGGAGGGGGAAGTAGAAGCCATCAGGGGTTTTATTTCCATAGTTATCAACTACATCTTTAACTAGGGTATCAGTTAATTAGATAGGTACCATGCTCCTTTATTTCGCTGAATGTTTTTCTTTATTTGGCTTTGGAGTGACTTCTGACCTTCTACACACAGATTTTACATATAAGTTGAAACTGATTATTTTTTACAATTCCTTAGATGTGTCAGACAATCCTCTCACAGGTCAGTCAGCCAACAAGAGCTTACTTTCTAAACGGGTTACTAACTGCAATCGCCTTAACTTACTCTGAAAAGTGCATTAGAAATACAGCTCCTTCATTAGAAAAATTTTCAGTTAGCCCAGTCCTTCAAGAACATCTCTGCAACTGTTACAAACCATAAAGTCAGGAATAGTTTTCAGAAATTCCGGATGCCAAGAAACAACAGACTCCCAAAGCAGTAACGTTCTATCCAGCTGAGTCCAAGAAAGCAACCTGGAGATGGTACTTCTCCAGTATTTACAAGAAGCAGTGTCTTGAAAGAGTTGGCTGACTTCCCAGTAGATTTTACTTACCCATATTCAACCTATGTACCTAGTACAGTGTCTATCATTGTACATACACAACTAAATGTAAGCACACGGGCAATTCATGTGTTTTCTACTGGATGCAACTCTCACTTAGGGAATAAAAAAGAAAGTCCTGTTTGCTTTAGGAGTACACTTTCAGTTGAGCTCAGTGTCTGAAGTGTTGACAAAAGAACTGTTGGTCTGCTTCCCAGCCAAACATCTCTGGAGTGAAGTGAAAGTATTAATGGAGCAAAAAAGGGGAGAATGAAGAGGCAAGGTCTAACACCAACTTTAGAAAAGTCTTTGTGCAAATAATCTCAATAAATTCCCATTCATGTCAGGCATATTCATATGTGTGTATACGACTTAGATCTGCATGCACATGAGTGCATTAACACACATGATATACTAGCATATGAACATATAATTTTATAAAATGTTACTCATATTCTTTCTGAAATTAAATTTAAGAAAAGTCACTTACCTTCTGGGAAAACCACTCTCATTTTTAGATAGCTGGTGGTGAGCCTGATTATGGATGCTTTGTCCAGCTGAGAGGTGATGGCTGAGGGCAAAGGCAGTAATTTAGCCAGTTCATAAAATTCACTGTTTTCCTTCTCCCGTCTAGTCCGGGCAGCATTTTTGGACTTCTCTTTCATTGTGCCTTTTTCCCCCTTTCTTCTTTGAATTTAAGCTCCGCAGATTCATCCAAAAAACCACAGAAATTTTCAGCTACACTTCATGTTTGGCCAAAAAAAAAAGTACCTTGAGTGAAATAGTTTACGTCTTTTTAACTGTAGGGATATATGACAGCAATAAAAGACCAGAATCGGACAATAAAAATATTTACCAAAACCAAAACAAAACAAAACCAAAAGGCAGAAAACAAGAGTATAGGAAAGATGATTTTCCAATGCAGATTCGAAAATCCAAGTGTATCTTCAGGACACTATATGTCAATAGGACCATCGAGGAACCAAGCTTCTCTTCTGTTCCAGGCAGCAAACATTGGTCGTCGGAAAACAGACATAATAATTCCAGTCTTTTTAATTTCAGCACTCAATCCCCAGGCCTCAAAGACGGCTCTGATTTCTTGAAGGTGGATCTGATATTCGATGCAACTTCTTTCAAGCCACTGTAATGACAACAGCATTGAAAGGATAAAAGACGTGCTGCCGAACAGTCTTACACATGCATACAGGCTGAGGCTGGGGGGGGGGAATGGTCAAGAAGGTGCCCGGGAGTTTCCGCTGTGTTTCTGTTTGTTTTTAAAGATCTGGAGAAAGCAGCTAGCTTAACTGAGCGTCCCACAGCACAATACTCATACATTCTTCCTCTCGCTAACAGCCTTCTCAGTTCTCTCCAGTCATATTTAATTAATCAAACAACAAATAACTTATTTCTAAACAAACAATAAATTCTGTTGCCCCACTCTCGCCTCTCATACCCCTTCCCCACATCCCAAGACAGACACACCATCATCACCCTCAACGACAGAACAGCAGGTCTCTGGACTTGACTAAATGTGCCAATAGGAAGACGTAGAAATTCCCCTAATAGTGACAAACACAGGCTAAATCCCAACACACTCTGATTGTATCCATATTGGTCCCGGTTTTCTGTTATGACAGCTGGGAACTGGTTTCTAAGACAGTGAGTGACATAGATTGTTAATTAATTTAAACTTTAAGTCAAATGGCACCCAGTGCATTTTCTTCTTTCTCAGGAGTAAAGACAAAAAGACAACACAAATAACAGGTTGACCCCACAGCACCAGTCCCCCTCCCAATAATTTTGAAGGTCATAGAAAATCTTAAGACTCAACTAATAAAGTCTCTATCTTTATCTCTCTAGCCAGGATAAACGCAGTCTACAAAGGAGCCCAAAGTGGCACTGGGTGAGTAAGACGTCTGCTTCCACCTACCTTCAGTCCCCGAAGTCTGCAGTAGGTAAGGAGCCCAACTCTTAATTGCAACCATTACTACCATCCAACTAGAGAAACTTTACCCTCTTCTCTGCTGTTAATACGCAGAGTGTTTCTGCTTCCTTTATCTTAATTATTAGGGTTTGGGGTTTGGTTTTATTTTTTTTTTAGGGAGATGCGTGGGAGAGGGGGACGAAGAAGAGATTATAGGTTTTGGTTCAGGTAAGATGGCCTTAGAATCTTCTTTGGTAATTGTCACGAAGTAGCTATTTTGCCTAATTGAAAGCAAAAAAATACACTCCAAATAACTTCTTTATAGCTAAAGGGTTTTAGCCTCAACTTCACTCCTAGTCTCCCTCTCTCCAGCCCTCCCTTAATGCCACTCACAGGACCCCCTTTCCTGCTATTGGTCCGAAGCGCCTCCAACTCTAGGTACTCATTGGCCTGATGGCTGAGTGACGCGAATACGCTCCAAGCTACCCTCCCCTTTCTCAGTCCCCCTCCTCTTTCTGGGGGTAGCGTCCGCCCTCTGACCCGCGTGGCCGCTTGGGTTCCTAATGAGATCCGAGCTCTGGGGGCGGGCGCGCAGGCAAGCACAGGGGATCCCAGGATTTGCTGGCGGGACCCAGAGCTTCCAAGTCGCTGCTACAGCTCCCAGGATACTTGGTCTGGTCTGGCCCGGGCGCTGCTCCTGCCTGCCTAGTCTGCAACGTCCGGCCTTCTCTGGGCAAGGGGCGGAGCGGGTGTTAGGATAGCAACCAGGGTGGGGGTGGGGTGAGGAAAGTTGTCAGTGCCCCTGGCCTTCCACCCCTCACCTCTCGTTCTTGCAGTTAGTGTGTGAGTGGAGGTGGATGAACATTCAGCCGAAGAGGAGGCCTATCACTTTGAAGTCCCTGATGCAGTTCAGTAGCCGTGGCAGATTCGGGGTTGCAAGGTGCATGGGGCGGGCCATAAAGTCGTAACAGTAGCAGCAAGAGGCGGTTGCAAGCCGGCAAGCTGCAAGGGTCAGACTTCCCCTGCTGAGGACGCAAAGTACCCAGGAACAGCCTGGAAAGAGAAGCCAATTGAGAACGGGGGCGGAGGTGGGTGTGCATGGGCTGGAGTGGGGCGGGGGGGGGGTACTGCCGTTGTTAAATGCCACTAGATTTTTACCATGTAGAAGGGTTATTCTTTAAAATTAGGATTTTGTCTGTGTAAATGTGTTTACCCCTTCTCTGCCTCCAACCTCCATACACCTTCTAGCACCACCTGAAGTTATTCCTCGTGAAAAACCCGAGCTGTGCCTTTTCTGATCGCCTCAGAAGACCTTGCTGTGCTCTGACAGGTTGTGGCAGAAGGTCTGGCCCAACCCAGAACACCAGGAACGTGGGCGACTGAGTGTTTTCCCGCGTTCCATTGAAGCATACAAAGCAACAGCCTTCATCGCTAAAGGAAGAAAATTTAATGTCTCTCCTAAAATTAGTCCCAAATGAGGGAACCTCCATCCAGATGGGTCAGGTTTCTTGTTTTTTTTTTGGGGGGGTGTCTCTGTGTGTGTGTCTCTGTGTGTGTGTTTTTCGTGGTTGGGGTGGAGGGTTAAAAGATCTGTTCACTTCGTAAAGTTATGGGAGTCAGCTTTCCTTATTAACTTTGCGGGAAGGAGCGTAGAGCATTATGGTCCAGGCCAAAATAAACAATGCATTGTTTTAATGGGGGAAAAAACAACCCTAAAAATTTAACCACAGTTACTCATTCATAAATGCGAAGAAAAAAATACCTTGGGGGGGAGAGACGATTTTTAAAAATCCCTATTATTTCAAGTAGTTTATTAAAAAAAAAAAGGTTCATCTATGCACTGTGAATGAATAACCTTGTTCCAAACTTTTTAAAAAAGTATTTACCACTGGTTTTATAGCACAGCTACGGCTGCTGTGGCAGCCTATATTTTAAAACACCTAGGCACTTCTGCTACCATCATTGGAGGAAATAAAGGGGATAGCACATAAAATGTTTAGATACTAGAAATCAATTAGTACCACATTCTAAGGACTTCCATACAGATGTGTCAATTCCTTAAACAACCTCTCGATTTACTGTTACCTTTTGCTTAGGCTGGGCCAAGCGATTGTTGTTGAAGGTATATGAAAGGCAATTCATTCACGACTTTGTAGATGAACGTGAGAAAAACAACTACAAAAACCAAATACCCGTTGGTTTATACCGGGAATTACTTCGGGAAGAACAAATATGTCAGGGAAGGATGCCTGACATTTTACCGATATTCTGAAAAACTTTAAAAGTGTTTGCTCAGAAATATCGACATCTGCCACCTCGTTGCCATCCTACGGCAGAAAGCTCTTGGAATGATCGGGGCGTCTCTTGGACGGTATTTACACATCTGGGCAACATCTGGGCAGAAGGAGAATGAACGCTGTCCAGGACATACAACCACCGGTGCCAAGCAAAGTGGTTGATTGTTTTTCAATTCTAGGTAAAGAAAAAACAAATCAAACATACAGATGTTGTGAAAGAATCAAGTTAGGTATCTAATCAATGGACTCTTGACCACGAAAGAAAACAGCAGAGGCAATAAGAATGGAGGGAAGGAAGAGATAAAAAGGGAAGGAAGGAATAATAGAGATATAGCAATTTACAGATACTTCTTGGTTGGAGAAGATTCTAAACGACCAAAATGATTTCAGCAGAAGGTGGCTTTTCTTTCTTTCTTTTGAGAAAAAGCAACTCACTTGTTTTACATTTGGCCCCCAAAGCCCAAGCTTTCAGAGGGGAGATCAGACCTTATTTCGTTTTAGTGGGGGGTGGAGAGGAAAGGAGAAAAATGGGAAGAAACCCTCCGTAATCAACAAAGTAACTCTCTCAGCGAAGCAGCGGGGTGAAAAGGAGCAGCCCCGTGAAGAACAATTACCGTGTATCCAGTTTTTTTTCACTAACACCAATCCAGATGGGAACCGTGAGAGGTTAGTATGTGTATTCTAACCTCAAATGTTTTCTAAAGAGATTGCAGACATATCACGTGATCCGTTGCTTTAAAATAACAACAAACTCCAAACTTAAAAACAACTCCTTGGCTTTCGTTCCTTTTCTCTGGTGTATAATGCCAATCTGTGTAAGGGACTGTCTGAAGTTTTATCAGTGCCCCGACTGCCTGATGTAAGAGGTATGTTTGACACACCAGAAATTCAATATCTTGTCTTCTGTAGCAAGATGGACAAAATTAGTATGTAAGTCTTCGAATCAATTCAAAGGCCGACGTCATGGTGGGCTAAACAGGGCTGTTCTAGAGTCCCAATGAAGCTCATTTGTCCAAGAATGGAGTGGATTATTTTGTTTAATAAACAAAGTGAATGCACAGTCATGAGATTAGGGTACCACCGTAAATCCCAAGCATACAATGGTTCGGAACTGAGTTTGCCAAAGAGGGCGAATTAACAGCGAGAAATAACACCTGTTATTCTAATCTTTGAACCCCAGCAAAGGAATACGATGCAGAGAGAGAGAGAGAGCAGACTTCTTTTTGTACTCACACTCTTGCCCCGCCCTCTTTAGACACCCAGAAGCAGAGACTCCTGCACATTCATGCACACGCCCGCAAGATAGTTGTGCACACACACGCACTTATTCGTCTTCTCTTTGAAGTTTCTCACAGTTAAAGAGGAAAAAAAATCCCCCTGCGGAAAACCTACACACACACACACACACACACACACACACACGATGAAGGATTACTGCTTGTCATATAAGCTATACAGCAGCAATGCTCCAAGATCACCTGGATTCATTCACCTCTAAAACTGCAAACATTTCAGTACACATAAAAAGAAAGTGAATCGTAACCACAGTTCACACACATATGTTGAGGGAATTTTTATATTTGGAGTAATTAAATAAGAAAAAATCTAAAGACATTTCTGGAGACTTCATCAGGCATCAGTACTCAATCTTATCCAAAGGACAGGCTTGCAAAAAGATCAGGTGGATGCGGGCTCTGACGCAAGCTCATCTATATGTGCAAGTCTCCTTGGAAATACTAAACTAGAATCATAGAAGGGCCTTTAAGACAACTAGCCCATTACCCTGTCCACTATGGGATGGCTCTCTAGCTTGGCATTTAGCCTGATGCTTTCACAGAGATCATTTCTTTCAAAGTGTTGAAAAAGTAAGAAAAAGGTGGGGTAGGAGAGGTAGTGGTAGGGTGGAGTTGAGAACGACAATTTAAAACACCTCCCCCCCCCCGCTTCTATAATCAAGTCGGGCTTGTAATCTTTATTTCTGTATTTCTCCTAAAGAGATTTATGATCCTGCAGCCCGCTTTGTTGCCTCTTCAGAATGATTGCTCTGCTAAAAAACACAGCCAGACTTCCACTTAATTACAGTGTTGCCAAACGCAGTGAAATGCGCGCTCTGTCAGGAGCCGGGGAACTCTCCTCTCCAGGTTTAGAGACTCTGGCCCTTTTCTTGCCCCGAGACCGTTAGAAAATATTGGGTCCCCTTACATCCAGTTAATTTAGGAACGCAGTTGGACACTTGGGGTGAGTGAATGTGTGCGGGGGTGGGGAGGGCGGTTCTGAGGAGGTAAGAGACTGGAGTTAAGCTTTTCGGTTAGGGCTTAAACACACTCGCTCACAGGGGCCAAGAGTTTGCCACAACCTCAGAATGCCCAGCTCTCCAAGCCTAACCTGTCGGGATATCTGCAAGCTAAGAGTAAAGGGATTCCTCAGAATTTGGGTTTTAAGTAGGGGTGGATACGTATCCTTCGTCCTTCGTATCCTTCCAAACAAGGGGGGAGGGGGAAGGAAAGAAAGAAACCAAATTGTTGGGTTGACTCTGAAAATCTTGCAGTTATCGAAAACAGTACTATTGCACCCTTCATTGTAGTACAATTCAGGAAAAAAAAAGGATGGTAAGTCCTGTAGTTTAAATCAGTCAGGCCTAGGATGCAGTTATGGTAACCAGATTTCAAACAGTACCTTATGAGTGCTGTAATCTATCTATTCCTTAAGGTGCCCTGAGCCTACAAACATGTCTAGGGTGCTGATCTACCTTCTGCTTTATATGTCCAAGGTGTCTTTCAGGAGAGCTCTTCAAGCTGACTAAATGTGTCCCCTTTCGGTGACCTAGTTTGCCCAGCATTTTAAAAATCAGAAATAGCTTGATTGCTTTCTTCTATTTTTTGAGATAAGTGTAACAAGAACAACTCAGTTAGTATTTTGGCATTTGTTTTTTGGTTTGGTTTTTTGGTGTTTTTTTTTTTTTGGTGAGAACTCATTTCTTAAGAGCAGAAACTTGTAATCCTGTTTAACATAGAGTCGAAGTGCAGAGTAGCTTTACTAGGTGTGTCTTGTCCATGGGAGTGGTACGATCATAGTG